CCAAACTTTCTTTTATTCTACTATGCCTTTTCTATTGTGGAAAATTGGGAGGAGGGATTGTACGGAGTTACTTAATGTGTAGCCATAACAAAATTCCTTCTAGAAAGTTCAAGATCTTGCCCCTCACACCCACAAGTCCATCACGTGGTCCAATCTTCCACTGCCATGCTGGCAGCTTCCATCCACCCAGTTCCGGTCAGGTGCGGAGGTGCAGAGAGAAAGGATGATCCTGGCTTTCTAGAAGGAATTTTGTTATGGCTACACATTAAGTAACTCCGTACAATCCCCCCTCCCAATTTTCCACAATAGAAAAGGCATAGTAGAATAAAAGAAAGTTTGGCAGGCCAAAGGGCCAAGAGGAATATGGCTGCAGGCCTGACACTGCGATTCACTTAACAAGCATGACAAGAAAAGTCATAAAATGGGGCGAAACTCACTTAACAAATTTCTTGCTTAGCAACGTGAATTTGGGGCTCAGTTGAGGTCATACGTTTTCTTCTGTATCCTCTTCAGCATAGGTTCAAAACTTTTTCCCAGGCAAAAGTCTGACCATCTCTTGTTTGTACGACAGAAAAAAAAAACAGGATGAGAATCCTTAAAAGCTTCATCACCCTTCTTATAATGACTGGTTCCATAGCAGTCAATCAAGAAGAGGATGAGCCAATGGCAGCTGAGTGTGCATGGAGGAAGTCCCACTCTCTTATTGGCTTCTAAGAACTTTATCTCAGAGCTAATGGCTCTTACTTTTCCCCTCCAGGAGTAATGAGAATTAGCTTGGCTGACATCAGGAGGTTGCATTAGAATATGCCAACATCTTTCCAGGCAATATGATTAATTAAAATGCTGGTTTTAGGATAATAGTTCATAATTCCAGTCAAACATAGCCGGGCAAGAAGACAACCAGAGAAGCAGATCTGGGCTCCAATTATTTATTTGCCACCAATGATGGATGTTTGCCTTTTTTTTGGAGCCATGGGTCTAAAAGCAGGGTTGTCAAAGTCAATTTTATTGAGGGCTGCACCAGGGTTGTGTTTGACCTTGGGGGGCCGGGATGGATGTGGCCAGGGTGGGCATGGCCAGCTCGATGGCACTCATGTCAGGGGCCCCTGTGGTAGCCCAGGCATTCTGCCAGTGAAAACAGGCTCCCAAGCACCGTTTTTGGCTGCGATGGCCTCCTACAACCCCCTGCCAACAAAAATGGAGCTCGAGAGGACCACACACAGCCCTACTGAGCTCCATTTTTGCTGGCAGAGGTACCGTGGGCCAGTCCTTCGCTGTTTCTAGGGCAGCCACACAGGTCAGATGTAAGCACCTCATGGGCCGGATCCTGCCCTTGGGCCTTGAGTTTGACACCCTTGCTCTAAAGTGTGCTAGGCAAAAAATGATGCTTATATGTCAGTGAATAGGGAAATACCATCCCAATTAGAGGTGGGTTGATACTGTTTTGCATCGGTTCAAGCGAACCAGTAATGGAAATTGGGACTGGGTCGCCGAACCGGTAGGGGTGGCAGGCTGGCCACGCCCCTGAACAGTTTCCCTGGTCGCCCATGCCATTGCCGGCATGTTTTTTTTTTTTT